TTGTGAATGCTACTTTCAGCTTCCTTTTTGTGATGAAGGAATTGTGCAGAAAAATTGCAGAATTGGCATTTTGTAGTTGAAGAGCTTGGATGTCCTCATGTCTTATAAAGCACATTCTGCAGAAAGGAAAACATTAAAAGGCATTTTTTGCAGAGTAGAATTTGATTAAACATTTTAATGGCTTTTTATGTAAATGAAAATGTCTGCATAGTATTTAGGTATGGTGTTGATAGTTTAATTCCTACACAGCCCTTTTTTGCATGTTAAATCATAGCATGTTAAAATATCTAAATGAAAAGTATATATAAATGGACTTAAATCCCAAGAAGCAGTTCATTGTAGTTATTAAACAATTGAGAATTCTCATTTAAATTACATTAGTGTACTTAAAGGTGTTTTCATTTAATTTGCCTAATGTATTCCTTTGAGATAAGAACAAAGAAGGAAACAAAGAAGGAAATAAAATATATACACGCCTAAATTCTACAAGATTGCTGACAATGGGTGCTTTGTCTTCTGAAACAAGCCAAAGACCCCATAGAAAATAAACATAAAAGCCATTTCACAGATTGTGCTAAGTCAGAATCAATGGAGCCAAAAAAGGTGATTCTTTGGGAGGAAGGTTGGTGATGGTAGGTTGAGTCTTGCAGGGATTTAAAGCTTCAATTTCATCCATTAAAAACCTATTTTCAGTGTTATCCTCAATATGGCAGACAAACCTACTAGACTAGAGTCTTCCAGGCAATGTTACATAGTACTATAGTAGGATGAATCCAAAGAAAGTGTTTGGTGGAATATATGAATCCTCTTTCAATGCCATTGCTTTGAGTTAAAGTTTCTCTCATAAAAGACAAATATTTCATTTTATAGTTCTTATTCAATAACACCCAGTCATTTTCATCTTAACCTACAAAGTTACTATTCATATAGGCTAGACTTGAGTTGTTCCACAAACCTGTAGTTTAGGGAAAAAAGCATGAAAGGATGCTTTTAATATTAAAAGGTCAATATTTACATTAGCAATAGGCTAAATGATGAAATCTCCCACTGTGGTTTAACACTTAAGCTCCATCTAACCTAAAATATTAAATAAACAAACCCTTTTCTCACTGTTGCTCTTTTCTACACCTAATGGATTTTCTGACAAAAATATTGAAAAAATATTTAGAAGGATTTTTTTTTCTGAAATGCTGCAAAGTTGTGGAAGTTGTGGGGAAGAATACTCCCCTGAAGCAATATCCTGTGCAATTCTAAATATGTGTCTTAACTAGGGAAACAATTTTATATGTAAGCTGTAAATGTTATCTTGATTGCAAAAGCAGTCTTGTGAATACTTATACATATTTCTGGTGCATAATTCCAATAATTGAATTAAATTTTGAATGTTAAAATGCTAATTTTCTGAGTTCAACATGATTATAATTCTCACTTCATTAAAAGTATGTTTGATGGAAACAAGCCTGATATGAAGAACGGTTGCAGGAACTGGGCTTGGCTAGTCTAGTAAAGAGAAGGACCAGGGGAGACATGATAGCAGTCTTCCAATATCTGAGGGGCTGCCACAGAGAGGAAGGAGTCAAGCTATTTTCTAAAGTGCCTGTAGTCCAGACAAGGAATAATGGATGGAAACTGAACAAGGAGAGATTTAACCTGGAAATAAGGAGAAACTTTCTGACAGTGAGAACAATCAACCAATGGAACAGCTTGCCCTCAGAAGTTGTAGGAGTACCATCACTTGAGACTTTCAAGGAGAGATTGGACTGCCATTTGTCAGAAATGGTGTAGGGTCTCATGCTTGGACAGGGGGGTTGGACTAGATGACCTACAAGGTCCCTTCCAACTCTGATTATCTGTTTTCTGTTATCAATTAGAACCATGTCGTCTTACAACAGACTTTATCTTAATGACACTTGTGAAATTTTAGGAGTAAAATATGGCAAATGTAAATAACAATAGGCATATTTTGAAGAGCAATAAAATGGTTATACAAAGCTACTGTTTCAAAAATGTTGCTAGTGAATAAGCTGTTAGAACCCCCAAAGTGAAACTGAATTTAAGAGAATGATACTGATAGAATAACACATTTGGAAGGGACCTGGGAGGTCTTTGAGTCCAAGCCCTTGCTCATTTTAGGATTCAACTGGAAACGTTAACAGAGAATGCCAAATTATAGTGCAGAAAAATGAATTGGAGGAAAAGGGAGAATCCAGTCGTGATATAGCTTCAACTTATTGAAAAGATCTCTACATTTTTTTCTTGCTGCCTCATCAGGGGTATAAAAACCCGAGCTTTGCAAAGATTTGGATTCAAAACGCTAAATGTGATATAGAATGCATATGGGACACACACATCTTCTTTGGAAACTTGTTAAAACAGATTTTCTGTGCTAGCAAGATTGTCATGCACAACTGCCAGTAAATCCTGGAAAAATATATGTTGCATTTAAGGTGTGACTGAAATCACATTTTTCTCTTCAAATCTAGTTCTCTGCAAAGTCTTATTCAATACAGAATAATACAATTGCAAGGGAGCTTGGAGGTCCTCTAGTGCAACCTATTTCTGATGTCTTAATAATTAAAAGTACAAATAACAAACCAAGAGAATGTCCTGAATAATTTTCCTATACTAGAGACTTGTTAGAGCTTTGAAAAATTTGGTGAGAAAGGACAAATAAAAAAATAAAAATAAATCAAATTCTAGGGCATTTGTGGGGACTAAAAATCAAGATCATTAAAAGTAAAAAGAAGGAATATAAACTTGGCTTATTTGACCAAGGTTAAAATAGATATGTTCTTATTTCTGGTAACTATTAATGGACTTTTATTGTCATCAGGATTGAAATAACGAGGCCTCATGAATTTGTTTATATATAAGAGATAGGTTATGGAAAGAAAATGTAATTTGTTTTACTTTTTAAAAAGGTGCTAAATTATTAAAATTGTTTATACTTATTGTGATGCATGAGAAATTTATTGCTGTATATATTTCTTTTTTTACTATATTTTTCTTTTTTCTTCTAAAGTTGCTTTTTCAAAAGGCAACCAGACTTTCTTTGTTTTACTTGAAGACATTTCACTTCTCACCCAAGAAGCTTCTCCAGTTCATGAACTCAAGAAGCGTCTTGGATGAGAAGCAAAATGTCTTCAAAGAAAACAAAGAAAATCCAGTTACCTTAATGACCACATCAGGGAGAGCCAGGATTGTGGTCATTAAATAAAGCAACCATGTGGGTGGCTCGCTTAATGACCCCCAATGACTTATGGCTATATTTCTGGGCTCAATTGTGGCTGTAAGTCAAGGACTATCTGTATCTGCCACCATTTGTTCTGTAGGACAATTGCACATGCTGGTAACACCTTACTCTTGCATGTTTGAGTGCTATTTGGTGCCAGTATGCTTTGCTCTTGGATTAATCCTTTATTTTCATAGGTCTTATCAGTTATAAATAGCAAACAGCAGAAACTCCTGACAAAAGGATATTACAACATGCCTGTTTCCTCTATTTGACTGTGTGGGAAAAGAACAGAGTTAATATGGGGTTTTTTCCCCAGTCATTTATATTGCTGCTGCACTTGCTGACATTTCAATTATTTCAGTACTTTTTATACCATTTAACTCTCAAGCAGATTTACTACATAAACATGTAGGGCAATTTATAGCTTACATGGAAAATAAATATGAAAGTGTCAAATGGGGGAGAGGTCATTTCAGCAGTTAACCATTCTCAAAACACTACCATGAAAACATTAGCTGGACATCCAGTATTTTTTTCTTTTCAAATGGGACCTGCTACTATTTAAATATTTGATTTGATGATCTTGTAAAACTTTTTTTTATCTTAGTAAAATGATTAATTTAGTGAAGTGAATTTGTAGAAATTCTACTGAAATTGATGTAAGTGAGGAAACTTGGAAACTTGTTTTGTCTCCATAGAAAGTGCTTTTTGGCTCAGCTTTTTGTGTGTTTAGTAGTATGCTATTGCTAAGTGCTTGATGTTTACTGGCTAAGCCATGATCTAAGTTGTTCGAGTGAATGATCAGAAATATATTCTGATTTTATAGTTTTTTAAAAAGTGTTTAGAAAAGAAATATATTTCTCCCCAGTAACAAAAGAGTTAAAACTTTTATAAAATAGAAAAAAAAAGAAAAACATGCAAAAGCATGGGCACTTAAACTCTTTCCTGTCATTTCCCAAACATAGGTCATGTTAAGACTCAGTTACATTCCTGGTGTGAATGCTATTTGTTTTTTCTTCTCTCTTCTTCCATTTTAATATATTTTTAATTAAAATAATGGTCCTCAACCTTTCTGGCTCCAGAGACCAGGGTGGAGGGGATGGCTGTATGCCTGTAATCTAGCTCCTGCACATGCACAAATGAACTTTCACACGCTCACCCACTGCTTGTGTAGCCAGTTCTCAACAGGCTGCAGGCTGGTACTGGCCCATGAACCGGTATATTGAATCAGTATATTTCAGATATTACAATACTGTTGTGAATCAATAAAAGTTACTAGCATAAATGCAAATCAGGGTTTGGAAACCTGCACACCTGATTGGTCCTTATACAACAACTAGGGATTGGTCCATAACTAGTTCCTGATTGGCCACTATTTTGACACTTCTCATTGGTTATTAGTTTGAACTTGTTGCACATATCATTGGTTAATAAGGTAGCAGCTAACCCTATAAAAGGGTTGCTGCTGCCCATAGCCTTGCTCTGTTCTGTTCTATTTACTATTATTAAAGAGTTGAAGTCAATGGTCAGATGTCTGGTCTCCATTATTCTCCAAACTTAACAAATACAATGTGCAATGGCCAATGCTATATCTCCTTAATCTGAACTGTTCCATTTTTGTCTTCAGTCCCTAAGTAAAGTTGTTACAATTTCAAACAAACATGTAACTAATTTGAACAACTTATTAATTTTCCCACTCCTATCATCTTTATAATGTTATCTGAATCCTTGCTGATAAAGGCCTTTGAAATGTTTTGTCTTTCAGGGCGGAAGATGGCTACGGGCAAATAGACAAATTAACATGAACCATTATGCCAATAAGAAGAGTGCAGCCGAAAGCATGTTGGATATTGCTTTGCTCATGGCCAACGCATCCCAGCTGAAAGCTGTGATGGAGCAAGGACCCTCTTTCGGATTTTATATGCCTCTGATTGTTCTCATCAGCATCTCACTTGCACTTCAGATTGTAGTTGGTGTGCTCCTAATATTCCTTGGTATGTATGGCAACCTAAATCATTGCTTATTTTGTGCCACAGCATAACTGTTTATGGTGCTGTTACCATTTTAATAGCGAAATACATTTTTAAAAGTGTTTTATAGCCAACTCCCCTTTGATAGCCTCAGGGTATTTTTTTAAAAAAACTATTTTTATTAATCTTTTTAAGGTGTTACTTTCCATGTGGTTGTAACTGCTGAGGTTATTTATTTAGTGTATGGCATACAGTGTCAGGTTAATTCAGTGTAAGTACAGTTAGTAAGTGCAGTGGTTACCAAGTACAAATCCAACAAGCATGCTACAATATTATAAGATCTTGTCTCATGGGCCATTCAGCCTGTGGCTCCCCATGAAGCTCATCCAGGTCTTCAGCAATTTGCTAAAGGCTGGTAGGATCTTGGTCACACTAATCTCTAGGATATGGTAATCCTTTTCAAAAGAATAACACATTTGAGAGTTGTAGTGTACTGCTTGTTTCTAGTATATAGGAGGAGGAATGAGTAGATTCTTACATAAAGAAGTATAGTTTTCATAATGATGTAATTCTATGAAATCATTTGGTGTGAGTAATCATCCAATAGTAATACATAAAGACCTTGTCTCAAAGATTTTTTTTAGCACCGTGAACAATGAATTTGATAATCTTTCATTTTCAGGAAAATAATACAACATTTCTCATGGGAGAGAAAAGATCTCCCAATATTTTCTCAGATTTCTTGTAGAATTTCTTATCCCCATTTTCAGAGTTTAGTATGCATGACAGATATTTGTACATTTTCACATGTGATGTAATTATTAATTAAAAATGATACTAGTCCTTCCTGCTATAAGAGGGAGAGCCAGAAACAGTAACCATCATTTCAGAAACTTAAAAGGCTCATGACAGATAGAGGGACTACATCAAGAATATAGGTTTTTCTTTCACATCAGTTTTATTGGTTTGAACAGCAATAACACTTAGACTTATATACTGCTCCATAGTACTTTACAGCACTTTCTGAGCAGTTTACAATGTCAGCATATTGCCCCTAACAATTTGGGGTCTCATTTTACCAACCTCAGAAGGATGGAAGGCTGAGTCAACTTCAAGCCTCTGACCATGGGCAGAGTTAGCCTGCAATAATACTGGGGGGTAGTGGAGGTTTATTCTAACCAGTGCACCTCCAAGACTTGAATGGAAGAGAATTATTCCTTGCCAGTCCAACACAGGTGAGATGCTGTTTTAGAGTTATTACTAAGGAATATTCACAGCTTCTCTTGACCCATACCTCAACACAGCTCTTTCTACCCTCCAGTATTAGAGATAATTGGTCTTGGGGCTTTCTGTGCCATGTGGGAAGAGAACCTCCAAACAGAACTCTCTATTCAAGGGTAAACATTTTTCTGAGTTTGGTCGTATCCCCTAGGTGGTCACTCTGGGACTGGGATTGTAATATAACCATCAGGTCTATGGGATTGCAGGCTAAAACATAACCTGTTTTTTCAGGGATCACAGATTATCATTCATTTGCTCTGGGAAATTATACATTTGATAGAAGATTATAGATATTTACTTTTGTGTCCAAGAAGTTACTTTTAGCTTAGAAACCTCAGAATAACATTTTTAACTGAAAGTAGAAACTGAATTATACTTGTCTTCTACTAGAAGATTGTAACAAGTATTTTAAGTACACTGTCATTTTCTATATGCATACATAGTTTTCTTTGCGGATATGTATTAAATAGCATTGTATTAGGAAATGGAACTTAGTCATCCAGTGTTGGAAGCAGACAGTAATAAAGATATAGTTTATATGCTAACAGCTCATAGTGATAAATATCTGTGCAAAATATCTTGCTGAATCTGTCTAAAGGCCTTTCAGATTCAGTAAACTTGTCCCATATGAGCTCACGAGATACTAATGGGAGACCACAAGAAGAGCATAAAGGTCCTCTCCAACTCATATTTTTCAGGGTTGGTATAAACCATATGTCTTATATTGAAGGAAAATTGAAGGAAATATAAGTTTCATTATCCCATACATATTTTCATAAATACATATTTCCTCTTTCACTGACTTTTTTTGACATTGAGTCCCATCAGGATCAAACTCCAGGCGGTGGGCAGAGTTAGCCTGCAGTACTGCACTTATACTGCAATACTGTGCCACCAGGCTAGATGGTGAAACTGCTGTTAGAATAAAAAAAAAAAGATCAGGAACACTTTAAAAGTCGATGTTATATTGGCCAGTTGCCTAGTAAATATATATGATATATTTCTAGTTGTTATAGAAAATAGTCTTAGCTTGTTGCATATGTATGATGAAAGAACATCATATTTCAGTTGTTTTAGGAGTCTTTAGAAGGAATAATTGAAATCTCATGATTTGCATGGTTTCTGATTCTCAGTATATCTAGTACCTCATCTCAGTTGTCCTTTCTTCAACCCTTTAGGCATTGCCTTTTCAGCATAAATGAGCTTGTATTATTCTGGCTTGGAGTAACCTCAGTGTATCTTTGAAAGAATTATTCTTTCAACTTCTTCTTTTTTTTGCCAACCTACTCTTTATTTAAATATTTCACTTTCAGAATGAAATGTAACTGTTTTAAACTTTATAGATAACTTCATAGATCAAATAGCACTGTGATTAGTTTCCAGTTGGTTGAACGATACTCACATTTTATCTAAAACTTTATGCACCAATTCAGTTTGAATTTGTAGTTGCCTTCCTACCGATCATTTCTATTACCATTTGCTCTATGTAAGATGTAAAGTATTTTAAAAGATTACCATTCTGAAGATAATTAAGACTAGCCGTCCTTTGCCTGCCTTATAGATTTCATTCTCTGTTACAAAATTATCTTCATACTTTTGAACATCATATCCACTTTTTTTGAGGTCTAATAATGTCACAGAAGGTGTGACTTGCTTGGTGCATCATTTACAAAAATTGTATGTGGAAATATTATCCTCTGGAGGTTTCTAGCTTATTAGTTCCGGTGTCTTCTTTGATGTTGACAGTATTGAATTCCCTCATTGTCACAAATAACTCCACCTAGAAATGAATGCATTCTCCATTAGAATGTTCTTTGTGCCACGTATCCATTCTTAGACATCAAAAGAGAATTTTGGGAGTACATGGGTGTTTTAATACTTACAAGAAAGATTCTTTATCTACATTAATGTATTCTGTGAAACATGAATTTTGAACCCTCTATAAATATCCGGAAAAGAAGGGATTGTGTAGGGATGAAACATTGTGCCCTAAAAGGCTCTCAGTGGTTCCAGGTTCCAGGTTGAGCATGGGAGATTGATACAATGGACAGCGATAGGAAGAAAATATGAATAATGTTTCTTGCATTGATTGTTCTGCATTATCATGTGGAGGAGCTCCAATATACAGCAATAGCTTTTTCTTTTGCTTTTTTTTTCTTAGTTACTTTGTTTAGAAGGCACTGGCTTGTCAATAGTCTTGTAAATTGTAGGGTAAAAAGGGGAGAAAGGAAGCTGTCAGCTTAACTACTAGAATGTTTTTTTCCCCTGCCTTCCACAGTTTCTTCCTTTGATCATGGTTCCAAGTCCATGTTTGTGCAGTTAGATTATATGTCTCTCCCCCCCCCCCTATTTTCTTCTGCCTTTTAGGTTGTGAGGGCTGGGAACAGTATATATCTCTCAGCTTACCTGTTTTACAGGCTGAGAGAAAGCAGGAGGAAGACAGGAACTGTTTTTGCTGTCTTCATGAGATCAAATGAACTTTAGCCCACTTGAAAATGTTACTTCTTTCCGAGATTAATGTTTAAAGAAAGGCACAGAACAGCAAAAATGAAAGATTTGCCATTTGAACTGAGAATGTGTGGAAACTTCCCTCCTGGATGCACTATAAATCAGGAGCCTTTTTTTTTTGGAGGGGGGGGTTTAGGGGTTGTCAGAAACATTTAGGATGCCAGCTGTGCCACTGATATCAAAGACCTGCCCTTCTTTTATGTGCATTGTGACAGATGTAAAAATAAGGGCTAGGATGTTATCATTAACTTGAATTTTAAAAATTCCCCCTAGGTGCCTGTGCTATAGATTTTATCTGCAGAAAAGCCTATATTAATTGCAAGAGCTTTCTTTTTGAAATGAAAGGGGAAATGAATAGTTTAATCTACACAAAATGTAAGGAATTGCTTTTATTCCCCCTGAAATTTTAGAACTTGGCATTGTTCATACAGAAACTTGCATTTAAAAAAAAAAGTCCACCTCTCCATTGCTATGGTGAAATAGCTACATATCAGCTCTAAAACCGGATGAGTCTCTTGATTTGAAAGCCTCTTACTGCAACTGGTTGATGTTCCTTTCCAGAGAACTCAGCCTGAGAAAATACCTGAATGTGTTAATCTAACTGCAGTGCTAGCTCCTGGAAAATGCATTGTGTAAGAGTGGTGATTCTCTTATGCTTATGCTTCTGAATTTCATAAAGCTCACTTCCACTTTTTAGTTTCTGTGGTTTCATATAGGAAGAAAGTGTCATAACTAGGATCCACAGGGCAAGGTATGAACAGAATTCATCCTTTCCCCGAAAGTGTCGCTATTTGTGATGGTTATTACATAAAATGCACTTTTAACCCTCAGGGATTGCTGGGAAGTCTGTTGCTTAATGGAACAAAGAAAAGAAATTCCCAGCTGGATCTAGAATGAGATTACCGTATTTGCCGGCGTATAAGACGACTGGGCGTATAAGACGACCCCCCAACATTTCCACTCAAAATATAGAGTTTGTTATATACTCGCCGTATAAGACTATCCCTCTTCCACACACCTTCCACTTTTGCACTTTTTTTTTTTTTGACGCACTTTTCTGCTTTGGACAATTTTGAAATGAGCTAATCCAATTTTGAACCAAGAATATGCAAATAGCTATGGAGTTTAGAAATGAGTTTTAAAAATATTTTTCATTGCTTACCATTAAGCGTAAAATATGTTGTAAATAAAATGAGAACACAGGAAACGTTCTCTTCTCAATACAGCTGATCTCTCTCTCTCTCTCTCTCTCTCTCTCTCTCTCTCTCTCTCTCTCTCTCTCTCTCACACACACACACACACACACACACA